GTCCTGGGGACCTGTGCTTTGACTTCCTTTTTGGAATGAAGAGAGAAAGCAGTGGGGAGGGTACTGCCCCTTTAGCAGAGGCTCTCTTTGAAATGACATGGCAGGGAATGATAGAGAGCAGGGCTCCTGCCCCACAGGTAAGCCATTCAGTCTCAGCAGGAGGGCAAATGGGATGCAGCTGCCCGGACCAGGAGGGCAAAATGCCAGGCCCAGTGCAGGCTGTATACATGGGGATGGTGGAGTCTGTTTTGGTCCTTGTTCAGCTTAAAAACATCAGAAATGGGCACAGGCCTATGTTCAGAGACCCAGTAAGAATTTGAGATTGGGCCCAACCAATTCCTCCTGAATAGGTGGGGAATGTCCAGCCCCCAGTCCCTGGAAGGAAAGAAGCTGCCTGCCTGAGCTGCTGGAACCACTGGGGAACTGCTCATCTGGGGCCCAGCCCTCAGGGTAAGAAGCTTGGGTTTTCCCTGGGCCAAAATCCCTCCCAAGTGTCACCAGGAAGCTAAAGAGCCTCCTGTTGATCCCGGATGGGGACTTCTACTTTGAAAGGAAGGAGCAAACAATTTCTACTTCACCTCTCTTGAATTCCTTTGTTGGAGTAGTGATGGGTTCAGTCCTCCTTGGGCCTAGGGCTGGTGGCTTTCTCTAGCCTGGGATCAGAGCCAAGACTTTTTGTTCTCTGTAGGGTCTGAGAGATGGGCAATGTGGTGACACCAGGCCTGGGAGGGAGGGTTCAAGATGCCCCCTCCAATCTCTGACAACATCCATGTCTTCTTCTCTCTCTATCCGGTTGCTGGGACCACTATCACCTGGGCATAGCATTTCTGAATACTGTCTGAATTTCCCGCTCAGCTGGGTCACCAAAGTCAAATTGGCTGCATCTCATTCTGATTGACATCGCCTAAGTGAGAAGGGGGACAAGAGATGCACACACTGGTGGGAGGAGGACACAGCTCACAGCAAACTTCCTGTGTGACATTGGGCAACTCCCCTGCACTTGCAGGACCATGCCTGTGCAGCCATTTGCAACTTTCATAGTACTGCCCACTGTCTTCTATCTCACATGGGCCTCCAATTCCTTGAGTTAGGTGGGGAAGGGATTACTATGCCATTTTATAGTTAGGGAAACTGAACCTAAGAAGCTGAGTGACTTGGTCAAGGTCAGTTGGTTGGTGACAGCCAAGACTGAGAGGTGGCACTGTGGACTTGCAGGCCAGCACTCTTTTCACTGCACCACATGGAAGCCAGGGTGGTGGCAACTCTTCCAGCTGAACCAACATACCAGGTGAGCCTACTTTAGCTTGCCTGGGCTTTGAGGCTGAGGAGACCTATGGCTTCCAGCAAAATCATTCAGTTCTTATCCTCATGGGGACTGAACGCTTCTCTTGGTTGGAATGCTGAGGAAGTCCAGTTGGCCCTCTTCCTGGCAGATTCTCACCCAAGGGCATGCTCTTCCTTCATGCCCAGACTGGTTATCTATATGCCACCCATATGGCCCACTGGGAAGTCCCAGTGTGGAGCTGCTTGGTCAGCACAAGCTTGGCACAGAAATAGCTAACACTGTGGTGTGGGCTGTGCCTGGTTCCCAGCAAGTCTTCACGCCAACCCCACCCCCACCCCACCGCCCCAGTCTCCCTCCAATTTCTCATCTAGACAGGCTGACTCCAGAATGCAGAAGGACCTGCAGGGAAGCACTCAGTCATGTGGGGGCTTTGGGGGAGGGGTCTGGAATTGACTAGAAGGCTAGAAAGATGATCTGGGCCTTCCTCTCCAGGAATGGGCCAAAGGAAATGCTTTGGCCTGCGTGTCCCACCAGGCTGCAGCTTACAGTTGTGCAGAAGGACACCCAGCCAAGGGGTGAGTGGGGCTAAAATCCAGCCTGCATGCCACTCGCAAAGTTGTGTGTTCTAGTGTGGAGCAGAACCCACCTGGAAGGGCACTGTTTTCTAATTCACATCAAGGCACTATATAGACTAGTAGCAGCCATGGAGCCCTGAATATAATGGGCCCCTATTAACTTCCCCCGACCATGAACAGATTTCCCTATAACTTTCCCCTGACCTTGAGCTTCCTGAGGACAGAGGCTGAGACTGACCTATCTTTATGTCTATGTTTCCACCAGCACAGAGCAGAGAAGTTGTCTGCAAAGGATAGTTAAGTTGAATTCAACTGAACTTGACCACTGCCCTTCTGCAGTCCTGAACCCAAAAAGTAAAAGGATCGATAGAGCAAGGATAGAGCTATGGTGCTTCCCTGCAGCTGGAGAAAATTCAGTTAAACAACACTGGGAGAAACCCAAAGGGGTAGGTATAATATTGAGGTAGAGGAAGCTCAAGAAACAAGCCTGACAAATCTTTTGTGTGCTTGTGTTGGGGACTGGGGAAAGAGGTTTGCAGGGGGGTGATCACCCTAAATCCTAAGGGGTCTTGTACTAGCCCCAAAGGATTTGGAGGATGACACCGAAGATATGTAAATGCCATGAATTGTTCCAACATTTCATCAACTCTACAGCTGCCCAGATGAGGGGCAAACTGCCCAGCAAGGTCTGATAGGGGTTAGATGCATGGGGCACTTGCACCTAGGACCCCAGGACTGGCCAGGGGAGTGTGACTTCCCCGAGCTTACTTGGTTCTGACCTGGGGTAGGAGTCCCTTGGCTTGAGTCTCAATGGGATTCAGAAGGGAAGGGCTGGGGTGCAGTGCCAGGCATGTGAACTGGGTAATTGCACCACGGGAAATGGCAGCATAGCCCACCCCAGGAATGACAGAGACCCACCTGTATAATAACATTTTGTTGTCTCTCTTGTCAGGCATGCATGGGACAGAGGTGGAAAGGAGCAGAAACTGAAGCGAGAGGCCTCTTGCCCTGCTAATCAATATATTTGCTTGGGTATAAGATAAAACCTCAGGTTGTCCACTTCCACAGGGGCCATGAGGTATTGGAGGCCCATCCAAGCCCCAACAAATCAAGCTCTGTCCCTCCCTGTAACACTCAGGCCCTAGGACAGAACAGCTCATGCTAGCTATGGTCACAGCTAAGAAACAGAGCTTAACATCAGGCAACCTCCTCCCCAAAGGCTCAAGAAGTGCCCTTCCCAGGCTTGGCATGGGGAGGGCAAGGTTCTGTCCAGGACCCTGTTCCCTCTGGGGTCCCATGAACCCCCTCTGGAGACAGAAAGACCAGGGTCTGTTGTGCCCACCAGACCAGAGCTCCATTGTTCACAATTTCTCAGGGGGCCAGAGCTAGTGAGGGCCCTTTATGATCATATGGCGAAACCCTTTGGTTTTTCAGGAGAGAAACAGAGGCCTGGAGAAGGGAAGGAACTTGCCCAAGGTCACACAGCAAGTTAGTATTAAAGGCTAGAGAAGAACAGATACCTTTTAACACTTTCTACCTTATCACTTGCCTGCCCTGCTGCCTTGGAAATGCCCCAGGTCCCAATCACACCAGCAGCAGTCCATGGGTACCATGGCACTAAGTACTGCTGGGGTCACCAACTCCCCAAAGAAACAAAGCACTTCCTTGCTACCCAGTGGCCTCCTTCCCTTCAGGTAAGGATATTTCGATGGACCCTGCTACCTTCGAGGGAAGGACCTGCTTTGGCTGTGGCCATGGTGACCTCAGGTGTTGTCTTCCAGCCCGCAAGACCAGCCCAGCCCTGCCCTGGAGAACCATGGGGAGAGGCAGGGGGACACAGGGGCCCTGGCCCCCTCTAGAACTCTAGCCTTGCTTCCCACATGATGATAACTGTTTAAGTCACAAGGGGAGAAAAGTCAGACTCTGATCTTCTGGGCCCCTGCCCTTATCTTAGAGTCCCCCTCCAGGAAACCTCCTCAGGAGCTGCAGCTCACTCTGCCACTAGCTGGCACTTTCTCCCTTCTCTCCCTCTTTCTCACTCTCTGTATATCTGCCCATTGAAGTAGCAGTCAAGAAATCAAATGATGCATTGCACTGTGCAAATCTGCTACAAAAGACCTCTTTAAAGTGTTAAAAAGCAAAGATGTCACCTTGAGGACTAAGGTGTGCCTGACCCAAGCCACGTTATTTTCAATCACCTCATATGCATCTGAAAACTGGACAACGAATAAGAAAGACCAAAGAATTGATGCCCTTGAATTATGGTGTTGGTGAAGAATACTGAGTAGACCGTGAACTGCCAGAAGGAAAAAACAAATCTGTCTTGGAAGAAGTACAACCAGAATGCTCCTTAGAGGTCAGGATGGTGAGACTTTGTCTCACGTACTTTACATGTTATCAGGAGGGATCAGTCCCTGGAAAAGGACATCATGCTTGGTAAAGTAGAGGGTCAGTGAAAAAGAGGAAGACCCTCAGTGAGATGGACTGACACAGTGGCTACAACAATGGGCTCAAATATAGCAACAATTGTGAGGATGGAGCAGGACAGGGCAGTGTTTTGTTCTGTTGTACACAAGGTTGCTATGAGTCGGCACCAACACAGCAGCACCTAACAACAACAACAACATATATATATATATCCACAGACGTGAGATACAGGGTAGCTAAGATGTCACATCCTGACAATACTGTAATATACTTGGGCTAGTTTTCACAGCTTCCTTTAGACTAGGTAACTGCTGGTAAGAAAGTCAGTCCAGTTGCTTTTCTCCATTCCTGGGGTCTATGGGTCTTCACTAATGCCACTAACAGACATAGAGAGACATGAGGCAGGGGTGGGGGCTGAAGAGTAGAGGTCTTTAGTGGGTCCAAACTACAAAAAGGCGTTGAGAATCTATCTATAGATCTACCCCTCCCAGCCCGAATACTATACTCTAGTTCCTCCGGAGAACCATTCTGGAAGGGGGTAGCCTCCAGTGCAGTCATCTTTTAGCTGCCAGAACTGTGCTGACCACCTGGGACCATGGACATCTTATCATGTGTCATTAGCCCTCAAGCCACCCCTCCAAGTCCCCCTGCCCGCCATCACCACGCCCCTCCCCACCCCATCCTCCCCTTTCTGCTCCCCATCTCAATTCGAATTCCAAGGCCAGGGCTTGTGGTGGCCTTTCTGGGGGCGAGTACGAAAAGGAGGGGGAAAGAAGAAGTGATTGAGGAGGTAGGGGATTAAGAGGGTGCACTGTGGCCCTGGTGGCATGGTGCTGTGGGGCCAGTCCTGAGGCCAGAGGTTCATCACCATGGCCTGGAAGACCACTGGGGCCCCTGGTAGAAACTGGAAGAACAAAGAGGAAAGGGGAACCAGAACAGGAAGAAGACAAATAAGCATCCTAGTGCATGAGAGTGGACCTGGAGCTGCCCAGGGGGAGGGCCTGGCCCCTGTCTATCTGTTGTTGAGCTGTGGAGAGCTGGTACCATCCTCCTCTTCCTCCTTGTCGTCTTTCATGCCTTTCAGTCTCTGGCGGGCAAAGTCCTCAAATACAATGTCGTCATCACTGGTGAGAGAGACAAGGAAAATGGAGTGTGTTTGCAAGGGCAGGGAGGGTAGACACGTCCAAAGGGGCTGAGTGGGGCCAGCCTGGCCCAATGTGACTGAATCTGCTGTCCTGGCCAGGAGAGAACCACACTCTCCAGGTCTGTGGCCTCTAAAGCTGGCCTTGGGCAGGAAAGCCTGCCAGGCTGGCACGTCTGGGTGCCCACTGGTGGTGGGGGGATGGTCACATCTGGACTCCAGCCACTTGTGGAAATGCTAGAGGGGGGCATGAGTATGACTTTCATGTCCAAGTGCTAGAAAAGTAAGCTGGTTCTCAAGCTGAGGGGCGGAGAATTGTCAAATGGGAGCAGTAGTGTGGCTCCGTGTTGCACTGAGGTCCAGAGAAAGAAATTATTCCCACTCTGAGAGTCTGGCCACCAATGCCTTCACAGTATATTCTGAATCCCCCAAGAACCCCACGCACCCACCCGAGAACTGCCCTTGGGAAGCATTCCAGTTTCTGGACAAGAAGGAATGGGCTGGCTTAACAGAAGGGAAAACCACGAAAGCGCTTTCTCCCAGAAAGTGTCAGCTCACATTCCAGGCAGAGGAATCTCGGATGTGAGAAGGGCTGGGAGGGAGGGAGGGAGGAAAGGCTGTCTAAATAGGGGAGCAGAGAAGGGGAGAAGTGGTGCCTGAGTGGGGTTTCAGTACTGAATGACTGCTTCTAAGAACAGCATCTTCCCTTCTACCATAAAACATGTCCACTTAGAGCCATGCAGGGACCTCAAGTCCTCTGCCCCATGGAGTTCAGCCAGCCGCATAGGGTCTCCTCATGGAGTGACTCAAGACCCCACACCCCAGATCTCTCTTAGGGAAGAGGGTGGCTTTGGCGCTGGAATGAGAAAACCACTTCGCTCTGGAGGTGGTTCCTGAAGCCAGCCCAGATCTCCCACTCTGGCCAGTGTCCAATGACAAGGTAGCCTTTGACAGCAGGGAAATCCGCAGGGGTCCTCAGGAATCGGAAGCAACTAGATCCCCGAACTTTCCCCACCCCACCGCCTGCTTCCATTGGTTGGAGGTGGGCGGGGCAGGAGAGCTGGAGCCTAGGGCCTCAAGCCAACCGGTGTGAGCCGGGCAGGCGCAGTGGGTGCACTGACGGACTGACGGACTGACGGACTGACGGAAGGACGTGCAAGGATGAGGAAGGAAGACAGACCAAACCAAGGCAGGAGGAAGAGTAACAGGCACGGAGGGTCCTTCAAGTCACATGCAGGCAAGCGGGTTGCAGAAGAGGTGGGCAGACGCGGCTCTCAGCAGATGGGGTTAGACCAGCTGCTCCTCAGGGGTTAATAAGCATATATGCAAATGACCCCTCCACCCGACCCGCCCGAGGCCCGCCCCCCCAGACTTCTGCAGGCAGCATTTGGCTTACTTTGTGTCAAGTTCTATGAGATTGGTATCTACTGGCGCCTCGTTCTCTGGAACTAAACACAGGGCGGGAGGGGCGCCCAGGAGTTAGCGAGTGGGTGGACAAGGGGGCGGGTGGGCACAGGTCCCCACCCCGGGACAACCAGGCTAAAATAGGGAGGGCAAAGGAAGAAGGGGAATGGAGAGGGGGGTGCTCATCCCTGGTCTCAGAAACGCCCCACATCATCTTAAAGTCAGCGAGGAGGGCCAAGGGAGGAGGATGCCCACTGCCTCCCACCCCCCTGTAGAGAACCCTCTCAACCCCTGCTCCTTTTGACAAGGTCTCCAACACAGCTCAGACTAATTTTTTTTGCATCTACGACTTTCACTAACTCTAAGATAATCACTTTTTCACATTTTAACATCTCTGAAATTGGGATGTGTTTTCCAATGGCATTCATAGTTTAATTGTGGGAACATTTTTCTTTCCTTTTGGTACATATTATCATGTTGTCTCTTTCAACTGAAGCTGTCTTAGATTCAGTGAAATATGATCAATCTGAATCACTTGGAAAAATGATGGGGACGGTGTGTCCAGGGGCCATCTTATGCATGCAGCCCCTTCCCTACATCCACACAGGACCTAGCCCCATGCCTGGGTGCAGGATTGGAGCTCGAAGCATGGCCAGCGGGCTCCTTCACCCACACCCAGCCTCCCTCTCCCATGGGGTTTGGGTGGGGTTGGGAGCAGAGAACAGGAGCCAGGTTACTGTGTCTCCTGGTGGGGTCACATGCAAATAGGAATTGTGGGTCCCACAGAAGACTCTGAAGAGCTGAGGAAAAGGGATGACACTAGGCTGAAGGCTAACCCAGAGGGAGATGGGTGATGGGGTAGCCTGGCAGCTGGTAGAGAAGGGGGTCTACTATCTGGAAATCCCACCCCAGTGACCCCTGGACCCTGCTCACCTTCCCGATGTGGGGGTTCCTCTTTGGGCTTGGGGTGCATCAGGGTGAAGGGTAGTTCCACGGCTACGTCACTGAAACAGAGACCCAGATCCAGTGAGCCTGAGCCGAATTTCAGGCTGTGAGACTCAGCCTGTCAGTGTGAGGACTGGTGAGGGTTTCACAGTCAGAGGAAATAGCTCTGGGCTGGGAGTCAGGAAATCTGGCCTTCAGCACCAGTTCTGCCACTCTCTGAGCCTCATTTTCTCTAGGAAACCTCCCCTTTCCTGAGAAGGATCCCTGGAGTCCACGAGGCTGGGAAGAAGTGGTAAACCTGCTGCCATCCAGTCGATTCCGACTCATAGCGACCCTACAGGACACAGTAGAACTGCCCCATAGGTTTTCCAAGGAGCAGCTGGTGGCTTTGAACTGCCAACCTTTTGGTTAGCAGCCATAGCACTTAACCACTGTGCCACCAGGACTCCTGGGAGAAGGTGTAGGGGTGGGAAAAGGATTGCCCAGGGCAGTGTGCACCTGGGTCCCTGGATGGTTCCAAAGCTGCCCTGGGACCCTGCTTGTCTTAAATTGCCACTACCACCCTGACACTGCCCTCCCCAACTTCCTGACAGGAACTCTTCCCACTCTCGCCCCTCTTATCTCCCAATCCTACGGGCAGGGATGCCATCTTCAGGTGATTCCTATAGAAGTGGTCAGGTGACTTCGCCCCCTGCCGTGTGAATGAAGCACTGTCAGGTCAGTTTAATCAAATTCAGGTTGGATGGGCCCCAGTGCCCAGGGCTGTCTACACTGAACAAAGAGACATGAAGCCTTGTGGGGGATAGAGGATTGGGGCAGTGGGGGAGAACAGGGAACGTGCTGCCACCAGCCAGTGCTTCTGACCAGGCCTTCTCTCCCTTTGGCCCTGACAGACTAATAACAAGAGCAGACATTCATATGATGCTTACTGTATACCAAGGACTGTTCTAAGTGTCTTCCATAGAGTAACTAATTAAATCTCCCAACAACCTTATTATGATCCCCAAAGTACAGACTGGGAAACTGAAGCACAAGGAGATTAAAGTATCTTGCTCAGGGTCACACAGCTATTAATGATAAATGACAGACCTAAGATTCTGGCTCCATAATTTATACTTTTGACCACTATATGATACAACTCAGAATTAAGAAGGCGGTTCCCACCCTCCAGTCTCCACACTGACAACAGCAGTCCTCAAGGCTCTTCCTCTTGGCTTAGGGTGGTATCACTCTAGGAGGCCTTCCCACCTGTGATGCCTCCAAGGCACACACCACATCTCATTGATCTCGGGGCTCAAGGCCCAGTGGGGAGGAGGAAGGAGCACAGTGTTAGGAGCACAAGCTATGCAGCCAGAAAGGTCTATTCGTCAGCCCCCCCCCAACTCACTGACGGAGCACTTTACATCTTTGTGTGTCACTGAACTCATCTGGAAAATGGGGATAACAAGGCCTATCTTCTAGAGTCACTAGAACTTCTGTGAAACGATGTAGGTAAAAGGCTTGGTTAAACTGTGAAGCTCATGCCTGTTGGTATCATCATTGTTGTTAGTTGCCACGGAGTCAGTTATGACTCATGGCGACCCCACGTGTGCAGAGAAGAACTGCTCCATAGGGTTTTCAAGGCTATGACCTTTCAGAAGCAGATCACCAGGACTGACTTCCAAAGCACCTCTGGGTGGGTTTGAACCACCAACCTTTTGACTCGAGTGCTTAACCATTTGTGCCACCCAGGGACTCCTTACTCCCTTCAGTAGGAACATGGGCTTTATAAGGCTGTCGAAACAATGTGACTTTTTTTTTTTTTCCTCTTTTTTATTTCCAAAGAAGACTGCTTCTCACTTGGAAGAGTGAGTTATCCGAATGAAAGCTGGAGGAAGAGTGAGTTTGCAAACCTTCACTAAAACCATACAGGATGTGGGTGGTAGAATCTGGACCTCCACCAGCCACCAGACCATGAGTGCTCAAGGGCAGGGGTCTGCCTGATTCTTCTCTGGGACCTCAGCACCCAGCACAAGGCTGAGCACAAGTCTGGGTTCAGGAAATCTTTGCAGATTTATATTGAACTGAAATGAATTGAATTAATTTCACCTCTCAGATTGGATTAAGATTTCTTGGGATGAGCAATAAGGAGCCCTGGGTGGTACAGTGGTTAAGGTCGGCGGTTCGAAACCACCAGTGGCTCTGCTGGAGAAAGATGTGGCAGTCTGCTTCCATAGAGAGTTACAGCCTTGGAAACCCTATGGGATCACTGTGAGTTGGAATCCACTCAAAGGCAGTGGGGTTTTTTTTGGAAGGAGGGGATGAACAATAGTGCCCTCTTGTGACAGGAGGAGGCAAACCCACCACATTTGGGGCACGTGCATTTTTGGAATGTAAGGGAATCTTGTCTACAGATGCAGATCAGCTAAGAATCTTGCCTTAGCAGCCCTCCATCAGCAGTTAATTCCCATCAGTGTAGAAGTCTGAAAGCCACAAAACCTGTGTTTCTCCAAGACATCCTATATTTCAGATAATTAGTAATTCCAATGGTGTCCTTGGGGGCCACTCCCCAGATCACCCAGATCAATGAAATTGGACTTTACAGTCTACAAAGGTCCCTGTTACTTGGTGTCATGGAAGAGCAAGGTGAAGCTTTTTAAGGAGAGACTACATCTCCCTAGTCCCTCTGGAGAGCATTCTAGTCCTAGCACATGCCTGAGCTCAGCAATCTAGAAGGACTGCTAAGATTCCCTCCAACCCTAATGTCCTATGGCTCTAGTCAGTCAGGCCAATGGCTTCTGGACCCTCCTCTAAGGAAGTGGCTCAACCAAGTGGTAGATAGGGATTTTACCTGGATGCAAGGTCTCCCAACAGGCTGGGTGGGTCAGAGGAGGCGAGAGAAGTAGTCAGGAGAGAATTCAGAGAGGAAGAAAACAGAAAGCATGTTCATTCACGACCTCTGCTGACCAATGGGATAGAGAAGATACATGGCACATCTCCCACCAGCCCTTGCTCGGCTCCAGCTGCTCAAGCAGGGATACATAGAAATGGCATTAGCCCTGCCCGGGGACACTGAGATGTCCTATAGTGAAAACTAAACCCATTGCCGTCGAGCCAATTCTGACTCATAGTGACCCTATAGGACAGAGTAGAACTGCCCCACAGGGCTTCCAAAGCTGTAAATCTTTACGGAAGCAGACTGCCACGTCTTTCTTCCATGGAGCAGCTGGTGAGTTCAAACCACTGACCTTTTGATTAGCAGCTGAGTGCTTAACCACTGCACCACCAGGGCTCCTTACACGGTCAGTATTTCATGCTGCCTCCTGCACGAGGTATTATTCCAATAATAAAGGGGATTCAGGGTCTAATGTTATTTAACTTTTCAATCTTTTCATAGAAATTCATGAACTCAATTAGAAAACAAAATCCCTCTGACAAGTCAGAAATCATAATTCTAGGTTTATAGCAACATATAGGCCCAACCTATCGGAAAATGTGTTTTTTTCTGAGCTTCTGCCAGACTATGGTCCAGGGCAGGTAATATACCTGGTCCACTTTTGTGTCCCCAGCACCCAGCCCATGGCCTGAGATTAGGGAAGGAGATTTAGGGAGATGATTATGGAACTGTTTGGGCCTCTGTTTCCCTATCTGTAAAATGGGAAAGTCGGACTAGAATATCCACCACCCAGCTCTTGGATTTGGAGCTCCTTTGGCCTTTCCTCCCCGCAGACCAGCCTAGGCATCCATGTGGGTGGGTGCTGTGCCTGGGAAGTATGATGCGGGGCATAGCACCCACAGGGGATCCCAAAGCATAGACTCTGAGGAAGCCCCCTACCCCATGCCCAATTCTCAATGCAAGGACCTGACCCCAGATAGGGAGGAGGAGGAGAGAGATGGGAGGGGCAGGAGAGGGGTAAGACCCCCTGAACGAGAGCAAAGGAGGATGGGAGAGGAAGAAGGGGAAAAAGAAGGAGGAAGAGAAGGGACAGGAAGCCCCTCAAGCCCAGTTCATCCTCCGAAGGTAGACGCAGCTAAACAGTCCCACAAACAGGCAGAACAGGGCAGGAGGCTGTGGGCTATTGGAGCCCTCCCTGCTGGATTTAGGGATCTGGGGCTGGGCTGGAGCACTCACCCTCCCCTCGACACCACCAGCTTCACTTTCACTTTGTAGGAAACAATGATCCCCAGGATCTCCCGGTTGGCTCCTTCCCTCAGCCTGCAAAGTGACATTTGGGAAGCTGGTTAATGGGCACTCACTGGGTGGGTGAGAGATGGCAGAAGTAGGGGCAGCACCTAAGAAGAAGAAGTAGGCAGCATGCACCTCCCTTTCCCGGGCCACTCAGCCCTGGGCTGAGCAGAGGAGAGCAAGGTGGGCTCTGCCCTCTGGGAGCAGGAAGAAGGAGCCCTGGGTTCCAAGTCTGACTATGATATTCACTCACTGTGTGGCCTTCGGAAGTCCCTGCCTCTCTCTGGGCCTGTGTTCAGTGTGATAAGGGGCAGGGCCCTTCCTACTCTCAGATCCTGCTTCTCTTGAAGTTTTTTGCTCAGCGACCAGGCTCAAAAGGCCAAACTGGGAATTCAGAGAGGGAGAGGGAATGCGGAAGGCAGTAACTCAGGGAGGACTTCTCACAGGAGGTAGTGC